GCATGCTATGGCAAACATAAGATACCAGGGATTGAGTAAAATAAGCTATGTAGAAAATAGAGTAATAAAGTCTAATTTGTAACAACGCCCCTCAAAGTCCCCAAATGTCCAGGTGATACTTCTGCTTATCTTCAGTCTTTTGTTTGAGTATCACTTTTACACTGTAGGCTAGAAAAGGGAAGCTTCCTTCTTCACAGACAGCAGCTGTGGTGAGCTAGAGTTCACGTATGAATTTCAGTGGTGACACATTTTAAAGTGAGGAAAATTGTATGTTCATAATCATCAGATATACTTCTACCAAATAAATACACAACTTCAAAAAGCTTCAAAGAGAAGGACACCCCCGGTTTTAGTAATATATTGGGTAAACATTGGTTTATGGACGTATAGGACAGAGGTACAACGGATTAGACCTCAGAAGGATGTTTGTACCCGTTTACCTCTGTGAAAACATCTCACCAATAGTAATGAATATAACCTTTGTAACTGACTGTGAAGAAGGAAACTACCTATTTTCAACAGCCACCTGTGAAGCACAGGGAGATGCTGAAAGGGTTGATTTTAGGTGGAGTATCACATTAAGTCTTACATTAGCAGGAACAGGCTTGTGTCCTAGAAATTACAGATTAGTGACCTTTTATTGTTAAACTAATAAAGTTTTAGATACAAAGCCTGAGGGTATTTGACAACTAAATGAGTTTAAAGTGTGTGTAAAAGGTTTGTTTACATGTGCTAACCATTGAAGTAATTTTATGTTTTTTACAAGATTTTTTTTTTTCATGCAATCTATGCATTTAAAATGAGTAGAGGGCCACCATCATCCTGAAACTTTACTGATCTTTTCATTGAGTAGAACCACTGGATTGTGTGATAGTATAAATGTGTGCCTCTAAAATGCTCAGACCAAGAGAAAGAAGTGTTAAACAGTTTACGTTTGTTGTAGTCACTCACTGCATCTCAGTACTGCTTAATATCTTAAATAATGCTCCTAATGCAAAGACGGGAGGCGTTTAAGACCGAAGCAGTTTACTGGTTTGATTTGGTCTGTTCCCTTCTTAGACCCACGCAGGATCTGCAGATAAGGATACATACACATTACATGCTTACCTCACGCTATCCCAACAGTGCTTTACAAAAACAATACATCAAGTTTACATTTGCTTGCAGGAAGCTCCATAACCCGCCACTATTAAAATACATTCCAACTGAGTTTTCACCTTCTTGTTAACAGATGTTTTTTTTGCACTGATAACTGATAAAATGCCACATATTTAATATGCAGTGTGATATTTGTACCAGCCAGCTCACTGCAAAAAGAATTTAACATTTGTCTGTATAAGTAAGACTTTTTGTATTTATTTATGTCTTGGTGTGGATAAAGTTTTCCATCGTTTTTTTTTCTGTTCAGTGTTTGTGTTTTTTCAGCCTGTGAATTTCTGTTTAAAGCTGTAATATTTAAAGTGTTGTTTTAATTGACAATATGGCTTTTTGAGCACAATGTGTTGCATTTATGTTGGGAAGCTGTTCTGTTAATCTGCCTGACAGACAATTCCTTTAATAAATACAGTTGTATTGATTTAGTGTTTGGTTGGACCTCAGTTTATAGATCACCACTCAAAGGTGATTGTGTTATAAGTTATGGTTGAAGGAAGTTAAACAGCTGTTAGTCTGCCCCAGATATTATATAGGTTCAAGAATATAAACATGTGAAAAAATAGGTAATGTTGCACAGCTAACTCACAGGATTAGATTGAATTTGTTAATTTATATAATTATTTTTCCTCTACTATTGTGTAACCTTGTGATTTATGCATATACTGCTTATACTAAAATAAAACTGGTTGCAGATAAGTTATAACCTCTTAAGTGACAACTAAACAGTCACACATGCCCCTAAAGTAGTGTAAATCACACAGTTACACTCACTGACGGTAAAACAGCAGTTGTTCTGCCTAGAGACTTAATTGATTAACGTTATATTCTAGTATCGATCCAGTTTAATACGACGTGCCAGCCATTAAGCTAATGCGCACTGTTGCCATGGCGATAGAACAGTATCTCGGTCGTTGATTGGCCGCTTGTCTTAGTTATGACTTTATGTCCAAACTAGCTAAATTATGTCCCAAAGTGATCGTGGTGCAACCAATTCTAGTAGCAGGTTTAGTTACAAACTAACTACTAAATTTATAAGGTATCTAGTGTCGAGTTTGCACCATTTACTAAAGAGAAAACCGAGAATACAACCCAGTCCTGATGTTACACAGGCCGATAGGTGGCGGTATGCCTCCTATACCCGTTGGTTTCGGTCCTTTATTAAACCAGAGAAGAAGAAGAACGTAAACACAATGACGCTAACTGCTACCAGCCAAACTAGAAAATTTTTTTAAAAAAATAAAAAATAAATGAAAAAAATACCGAGTATAGTAAGTTAGGGTGCAGTATGTCAGTCGTAGCTACCAGGCAGAGTACGAGTATCCTGTGATATGTCTAATACCGAGCTACCGATCAAACATGGTCCGTAGAAGAAGCGTCGCCTGGGGCTTCTTTAAAACCGTGGACGCAGAGTCGGTGCAGTGTCTGCTCTGCCGGGGTCTGGTCAGACATGGTCAGGGTAACAAGGGCACCACCACGAACATGCTGAGACATCTTCGTGTCAAACACCCCGCCGAGTTCGTCAAAAAGATAAAGGGTCGTTCACCTGAAGCTTCCTCCATCGATAACAGTCCCCAGGACATGGAGGCGGACAGCGAGCAGTTCTGCTCCGGTAGGGCTGCAATCATATTCACCTGTTTCCACTGCAGATAGTTGACTTGTCTTAGTAATAAAACAGTAATTAACCAACCCAGACATCATGAATGCTGCTCCTGAGACATGAACCTGGTACTCGTGTACAGTTTGGAGCTAGAGCATCGATAAAACTGTAGCGGCCATTTTACCTTCACACATAACCGGATTATGTGGTTTTTTTGCATTTTATCTCCTGAGTCAACCATGATACCACAGGATAGGTCAGGTTATAATAATCAATAACATATTCATCATCATAAACTGCTCCGGTGAACAGTCTGGAAACATCAGACATATCAAACTATGTAAAAGTGTCACATCAGGCTCTGAGAACTTGTGATTTGTGTTTTATTAATTCATTATTTAACATCTTCCTGATAAGTTAAACACTGACCAATTCATCGGTTATTTACTGCCATAATTGTACCTTTTGTCTTCCTCTTCTTTAGTGGAAGTGGCGCTGGAGGATGAGACATCTGAAACCCTCACCACTGGGTATGAAGATGACGGGACTTCTGCTATAAATGGCATCGTGGAAACTGCACAAGAAGGTCCAGCAGATAAAATAATGCACGAAGAGGAGAGTGATGACCGCCCTGTGAGATCCAGACAGAACAGACGGAGCTTGATTTGGAGGCACTATGAGCGCCTGGACAGTTTGGCTGCTGTTCGTTGCCGCATTTGCATGAAGAAGATAAAGTGCTTTGAAGGCGGCAGCACCAGTAACCTACATCGGCACATGTCAAAGAGACACCCGGGGGTGTTCTCTCAGCTGGTGGCCAATGGGAAGAACCCACCACGACCCCGCTCATCACAGGGCTCAAATGTTAATGGTGACACATCGACACCACCAGACACTGTTGAGGTGACAGAGGAGATACCTTTTCCAGGTAATGTTTCGTGGACCACCTGTTGTTTCTGTTTGTAATCTTGCTGAAGGAAAACAAATATGCAGAATTTTCATTTAACGTTAAATCAAAGAGTAAAGTAGGCACGATTATGAATCTGACCAGAGGTTTGATGCCAGCTTTAAGTACTTACAGTTTTCAATACTCATTTCTGTTAGTATCAAAAAGTATTGGTGTTAGATACCCAGCCCTGCTTTTATCAAATGAACATTGGTTTTAGAATATCAGCAATGTTTGCATCACCATGGCTGGAGTTTCATCATACAGTTAAAATTAGGTTATATAATTCTGCCTGTAAATAAAACATCATTTAAGTACTTACGTACTCAACCTACCAAGTACTTCTGCTGTCACTTGATCTTCTCTGTAATTTTAAGAAAGCACTTTGGTGTCACTGTATGAGACTAAATATGTGGTCTTTTCCTCCCTCGGTCTTAAAGGTGTGATAAAAGTTTCAAGAGCGTCTGATGGAGAAAAGAGTGTGTTTAGGAAGGAGCTGGAGCTGATAGAAGCTCTGAGGAGAGCGCAGAGGGAGGAGGCTCGAGCTCTGGAGTATCAGAGGGAGCTGCTCGAGAAGCTGCGTGCAGTGAATGCCAGGGAGGCGGCTGCAGAGAGGGAGCAAATTGAGTCATTGAGGAAAGCACAGCTGGAGGAAGCCAAAGACTTGAGTAGACAGAAAGAAGAGCTGGAGACGGAAAAGGAAGAGCTGCAGAAGAAATGGGAAGAGCTTCAGCAGGGAAGAGAAGAACTCTTGATTTCCAGAGAGAAAGCCTCCTGATTCATGTTGCTTTAAATGCTTTGGGATGAATTCTAAGACATGAGGATTTAAAAATGTAAACTCCCTTTTAGTAAAATATATTTTGCAAAAAATCTGTGGATATTTGATTTTGTTCCTGTTATAGACGTGCTGCTCTGCTTTATGGCATTTTAACATTTCTTCTGCCCATTCTGGTCGTGGTGTGATAACCGACATCACTCTGGAGTCAAATTAATAGAAATGTGATCCCGACAAACCTCTCCGTCTCCACCCTGCTTTCACTCATAGCCACAAAAAGCTATTTATATAGTAGGCAGAGATTGTGTGTGTGTTGCTCTCGTCCTGAAGGAGAGGATAAGCTGCACAAATAACTGTCATGTATTTGTCTTATTCAAATGTGCCAATAGAGATGGATAAACATCAGAGCATCTACCTTGTAGCTACAACATTTTAGACATGTGAACATAGATTTTTTTTCTATTTAATTACTACAAGGGCTTGAAATGATCAGCCGAACTAATTTGAAATTTAAATGATGGTCCTTATGTTTTTTTCTACCACGATACATCATGTTGTCACTACCAAGCGGTCTGATTCTGTTATGAAATTTAATTTACCCTGAGATTTGAATTAAGTCTCTTCTTCATCATCATTTTATTTAAATCTGCAGAAACCGATTGAGGGAGAACTCTCATTTACAATGACACAAAAAATAAGGGCAGACACACTAAAAAAATAAGAGAAGCTCGCAGGTAGCAATAAAGAAAGAATAAAAATACATTTAGAGACTTGAAAATTTACTATAAGAGCAGAACCATGTATGTGCTGAAACAGGATTTTTAGGAAAGAGTTGGGAGGAATCAATAAAAAGATTTGCATTTGTACAATCCCACTTAACATAGCAGGTAATACATTAAACTTTTATGTGTAACATACCTAGACATACTCTTCTTTAATAAATGAATAAATCACTAACGTTTCAGGACCCTAATCAGGGAGTTCATAATTTATAGCAAGGTAGTTGTTATGGACTTTTGTTGTAGTGAGGTCAGATATTTTGTATGTGCCTGAGAATACAAATCACTGGTTGATTTACTGGATCACCTCTAGCAGTAAGGTTTTTGTAGCGTTTTGTAATTTGGGTGAATTTACTCTTTAAAATAAGTTCACTCCTGTTTCCATCCCAGGATCAGAGGGTCCAGTTAAAGAACAAAAACGTACAACGCATGCGTAGGACTGCAGTGTTTTGATACCCAGAGTGTGCCTCCTCAGGTTGTGCGTCCCCGCTTCCACCGCCTGTAAATGGTAGTGTGTCGGTCTATGTCACAAATGTTCAGGTACAATGCTACAGTCATGTTAGGTGTAACGTTCACCCAATTTTAAGACCAGGAGACGGCAAGTCCTCCCTGTTAGTCCCCTGTTAGTCCACCTGATCCTGCAGCTGCCTGACAGACTGAACCCAGGGAGCAGCCGCGGCGTGTTGACGTGGTCTCCTGCGTCTGTCGGAAGATGGCGGACAGTGGAGCCGTGGCAGTGAAGAGAAGCGACTCTGGCTCAGTGTCCTCTGTGAGTATGGACACCATCTCGGGCCTGACGGAGCTGGAGGACCTGGAGAGGGTCTACCAGCAGCTCTGCGTGCAGGAGGTTCGTATAAACCACTTTGGCACTCACTGTCGTCATCCACGTACACTTCCGGGACGCTGCTGAGGGAGAGAGCTGCAGTCTGATCAATTATAGCCAAATGAACTATTAATGATAAAACTAAAGGTTTGTCCTTTTAAGTCAGACTAGAGCAACAACCCGAAAGACAGCGGGTAACATGAGTATCTTAGTGTCCAGGGTTCAACAAACATCTATATAACATATCATCAAGTGTTTTTAATTTTAGGTCGCAGAATTGGTTCGGATTAAAGGGATTGTACATGCACAGTGACAGCTAGTTGGTATTTAATGGGTAAACAGTTTAAACCACCAATTGAATCTGACTGAGCTCGGTTACAACCTCTGTAAGAGTATCCTGAAGATGTCCTGCAGCCACCAGGGACCATGCAGCTCATGTTTACATATACATTCTCTTTTTATAAGAAAATGTGCCATTTTTTATTAAGGAGACACACCATCTCTCCTCCTTTCTTTCTGCTCTTAGTTTGTTATTTATGAATATTTGTTTGGAGACTTTGAAAAGATATGGCTGACTGATTGACAAGTATATGTGTGGGGAGATGCTCACACTGTTGATATCAGGAGCACAGTTGATCAAACAAATGAAGAAATGTGACAACTCATGGGCCATTTGTGCAAAGTAAATGACCATGACTAATCTCTATGATGTTTTAATCCATGCTTTAAGTCATTAAGCACAACAAACAAAGTAATCCTGAAGTTCTTGATACACCGTAGCTCAACCTGGACCCATCGTCAGTGATCATCAGAAAAGCTTAATAAACAGAACAAGTAACAAACTAAGGCTCTAAAAGCCAGAATGTTAATGGAATTAAGTTATTCACACTCTTAAAACTGCTTACACACCACATCTTCTAATATTTGACGACTCCTCCTTTATCAGACATCTAATATATTTGGTTTCTTGTGTGAAAATGTGAAAATATAGTATGTGTGTATTGTGTATAAGATGCTGAAACCAAAATAAAAGTGATATTCTTGTTGCTCATTAGATGTTTGGTTTTCTCCTCTGCAGAAAGAAGTGGAGACTGAGCTGGACAGACTGGTGGGGCAGGAGGGGACCATTCACACAAAGATGTTGGCACTGCAGAGGATGGGGTACGGTTTGTATAGATTAGTCTATTACTCTAACAAGCATGAATAATAGTGACAGTTGGAGACATATAATGACATATAATGTAAAAAAAAATGAACAGCAGTACAACAAATAGATGCTTTTTATTCATAAAAAGATATAATAAAAAGACATAAATGGGTCCATAATTAATCAAATGTTAAAACCACTGCTGGGTAGATATAGACTCCATGTCTTCATGAACTGTCCATTTGAAGAGTGAAGCAGGCAGGTCAAGTATTCAAGAGTAAAACACTTGACATGATTATCTTATGCCAGTTCGTCATTTATCCACATTCATCGTCATTTAGTGTAGTTTTAAAAGCATCTGAAGATCCTCATTTATTTGAGCTCCAACCACGAGTCTGTGTTCTTAAAACTGTCTTTGTGCTTTATAGGCCCAATCTACAGCTGATCGGAGGAGACGCCAGTCAGCTGTCAGGCATGATCACGTTTACCTGTAGCCTGGCTGAAAACGTCAGCCGCAAAGTCAGACAGCTGGACCTGGCGAAGGTAAATGCACACGCTTATTACATCTATTATAAACCAGAGTTTTATTAACCTTTGGGTTTAGTGGGTTCATATTGTGGTCATATGCATGTTGGAAAACACGTTAATAGGTTGTATTTTTTACACGAATGTTGTACTGGATCACATACACTGATCTCGTAGTATATATCTTGTTTTACCTTTGTAGACACGGCTGTATAACGTCATCCAGCGCGCTGACGATATCCTGGATCTGAAGTTCTGCACAGACGGCGTGCAGACAGCTCTACGTAACGAAGATTATGAACAGGCTGCTGCCCACATCCATCGCTACCTCTCTCTGGACCAGTCGGTTATTGAGCTGAGCAGGCAGGGAGAAGAAAGTACGACCCCTCCAGTTTTCTGTCATAGTGCATTGCTCAGTATGCAGTCTTACACTGCAGCAAATAAGTTATTGTTGTTATTGTCTTATTTGATTGTTTTGTGTGTTTTTGCATGATTTTGACATTTCATTTCTTAGGATTGTAGTTCATCCAAAAGATTTTTTTTTATTTTTCTACCTGCACTGGTGGTAGTGGTTTGAAATCAGCTGCAACATACATACTATACATGTCTAAGCTTGTGCTGTAACACTGTCAATGCCTCATATCTACACAGGCAGTGCTGTGGATGCCAGTCTGGTAATGCTGCAAGAGGCAGAGAAGAAACTGAAGGTCATAGTTGCTGAGAAACTGGATGAAGCTGTAGCCGCAGTCGACCTCGCACAAGTAGAAAGGTTTTTCAAGATCTTCCCTCTGCTGGGCCTCCACCAGCAGGGCCTCGCCCGCTTCGGTCAATATCTCTGCAGTCAGGTCAGTTTTGGTCCCTGTTTGTGTGTTTTTGTGTTTATCTCAAAAACTTAAATGAACCTTAGGTGGAAAGATAGGGCATGAACTAGCAGTCAGTGTGTTTATGGTGCAGATCCAGAGATTTCTTTTAAAAGTGATTTTCTTTAAATCTTTTCTGTGCTGCAATTAATTACTTAATTGAATGCCACAATGTGTAAGATTCTGGATCGAGAGGCAGCTTTCCTGTCGAAATAACAGAATTAGGGAATTGTGCAGCCTTGGAGGTACAGACTTTATATTTATGTTAGTAAAACATTTGCACTCTTTGTTGTTCTTTGCTTGTAAATTCTATTAAAAACTATTAACTTCCTGATCCTTATCCTGATGTTGCTCTCACTGTATTTGGTATAAGTGTGTTAGTTAAACGATAACGGCATCAAACATAAAGAGAAGGCACTCTCTGATCTGATATTAACTGATTGTCAGAAACATATGAGATTATGAATATAAATGTCCATCTTTGACTTTCTGGTCAGAAATGTATTATGTTTTGTTTTTTTCTGCCTCTTTCACACACAGCTTGCCTCCAAAGCTGAGGAGAATCTGGTCTTGGCTACAGGAGGAGACCTGGGCGAGAAGAGAGCCCCGCTGGTGTTTGCAGACACTCTGACGCTGCTGCTGGAAGGTGAGAAAACAGGCTCGATACTCTGCCTGCCTACGTGTTCCTTTGTTTGCTCGGAGTGGCCTCCACTAATGTGTTGGTGTGTGCTTACAGGTATTGCTCGCGTCGTCGAGACTCATCAGCCTATTGTAGAGACGTATTACGGTCCGGGCCACCTGTACACACTCATAACTCACCTGCAGCAGGAATGTGACCGACAGGCGCAGAAAATAGTGGACAAGTTCATCCAGCAGAGAGGATACCAGAACAAAGTGTGCATGACGACTGAGCTTCATGATGGGATTGTTTTTACTGCATACCTGTACACACTGTGAACTGGTTCCCCTTATGTAGTTTCAGATTGTCCAGAGCAGCATGATGAAGACCG